GCTTACTAAATTAATTTGACACCATCAACATCTGGAGAACTTATGCAGCCTTACAGACATTTTGCAATAATAATCCTTCTTTCCCTCTATAGTTATAGTAGAATTTCCCCATTACTAAAGATATCCTATGGGCTGGTACATGTTTAAAAACAGGAAATTCTGGCTTGCATCTTAAGATGTGTTAATATAATGAAGTTCACAGAATGAATGTGTCTCATCCCTTCCTACATTCTGCAGCTTTCTGAACCCTAGGAAAAGTCTCCCCTCAGGGCCAGGTGCCCTTCCAAACTACTTCAAACAGTGTAAGATGGGCTGTTGTGGGAGGGGAGAATAGCCCTGAGTCAGGAAGCTTTCCTTTTGAAGTACAATCCAAACTGCTGCCTATGCAGTAGGATGGAAAATACCAGATAACATACCACACATGCAACATGATGTGATGTGGGGTTTACCCAGTCCATATAGTACTTCTTGCGGAAGAAAGGAATGGAAGGATTCTGTTACTTCATATTAGCAGTCTGGAGGTATTTCAGTATGGGAACATGTTGACTTAGTGAGAACCATTAGTACCATAATTCACCTGTTTCAAATATTACTAATATCTCCCATTCTGCTGTTGCGTAGCTGGAGAAAATAAAGTACTTTTGAGAAAGAGTACAAAATGTGAGAATTTAAAAACTACAAATAAAAATATAGTGGATAAGATGTATAAGCAGCTGTTATGGCTGGAAACTAGCTCTAATAATTATCCCTTCAGTGCAGTAAAAGGCATACAATTGAAGAGATCTCTCTTGATTAACAGTACTTAGCATTATTGAAACATTTATATTATTAGCCTGCAATATTGTTTTCATCATGGGGGATTGGAATGCTAAAGTAGGATAACATAGCCAGAATAGATATAAGATAACTGGAATAACAGGCAAGTTTGACCTTAGAGTACAAAATGAAGCAGGGCAAAGGCTGGCAGAATCGTGTCAAGAGAACAAGCTGGTCATAGCAAACACTCTTTTGCAACAACCCAAGAGTCTACTCTGCATATGGACATCACCAGATGGTCAATTCAGAAATCAGATTGACTGTGTGTTCTGCAGCCAAAGATGGAGAAGCTCTATACAGTCAGTAAAAACTAGACCAGGACCTGACTGTGGCTCAGATCATGAGCTTCTTGTTGCAAAATTTAGGCTTAAATTGAAGAAAGTAGGGAAAAGGACTAGGCCACTCAGGTATGACCTGAATCATATTCCTGATGAATATATAGTAGAGGTGAAAAATAAATTTAAGGAATTAGATCTGATAGACAGAGTGCCTGAAGAGCTATGGATGGAGGTTCACAACATTGTACAAGAGGTAGCAACTAAAACCATCCCAAAGAAAAAGAAATGCAAGAAAGCAAAATGGCTGTCTGAGGAAGCTTTACAAATAGCTGAGGAAAGAAGGGAAGCGAAAGGCAAGGGAGAAAGAGAAAGATACACCCAACTGAATGCAGAATTCCAGAGAATAGCTAGAAGAGATAAGAATGCATTCTTAAATGAACAGTGCAAAGAAACAGAAGAAAACAATAGAATAGGGAGGACCAGAGATCTCTTCAAGAAAATTGGAGATATGAAGGAAACGTTTCATGCATAGATGGGCATGATAAAGGACCAAAATGGCAGGGACCTAACAGAGGCAGAAGAGATTAAGAAGAGGTGGCAAGATTACACAGAACCATGCAAGAAAGAGCCTAACGTCCCTGATAACCACAATGGGGTGGTTGCTGACCTTGAGCCAGACATCCTGGAATGTGAAGTCAAAAGGGCCTTAGGAAGTCTTAGCAACAACACAGCTAGTGGAAGAGACAGTATTCCTGCTGAGCTATTCAAAATCCTAAAAGTTAAAGTGCTACACTCAATATGCCAGCAAGTTTGGCAAACTCAACAGTGGCCACAGGATTGGAAAAGGTCAGTTTACATTCCCATCCCAAGGAAGGGCAATGCCAAAGAATGTTCAAACTACCTCACCATTGCACTCATTTCACATGCTAGCAAAGTTATGCTCAAAATCCTTCTAACTAGGCTCCAGCAGTATGTGGACCAAGAACTACCAGAAATACAGGCAGGGTTTCGAAGAGGCAGAGGAACTAGAGATCAAATTGCCAACATACACTGGATCATGGAGAAAGCTAGGGAGTTCCAGAAAAACATCTACTTCTGTTTCATTGACTATGCTAAAGCCTTTGATTGTGTGGATCACAATTGTGGCAAGTTCTTAAAGAGATGGGAGTACCAGACCATCTTTGTCTCTTGAGAAACCTGCCTATTTAACTTATATGCAGGCACATTATGTGAAAGGCGGGGCTAGATGAATCACAAGTCGGAATTGAGATTGCCAGGAGAAATATCAACAACCTCAGATATGCAGATGATACTACTCTAATGGCAGAAAGTGAAAAGGAACTAAAGAGCCTCTTGATGTGGGTGAAAGAAGAGAGCACAAAAGTTGGCTTGAAACTCAACATTAAAAAAAGTAAAGACCATGGCATCCAGTCCTATCACATCCTGGCAAAAGACGGGGAAGAAATGGAGGTAGTGACAGATTTTATTTTCCTGGGCTCCAAGATCACCACAAATGGGGACTGCAGCCAAGAAAATTAATAGACGCTTGTTCCTTGGGAGGAAAACTATGGCAAATCTAGACATCATACTAAAAAGCAGAGACATCATCCTGCCGACAAAAGTTTTTATAGTCAAGGCTATTGTTTTCCCAGTTACAATGTATGGCTGTGAAAGTTGGATCATAAGGAAGGCTGAGCGCCAAAGAATTGAGGCCTTTGAACTGTGGTGCTGGAGAAGACACCTGCGAGTCCCTTGGACTGCAAGAAGATCAAACCAATCAGTCTTAGAGGAGATCAACCCTGACTGCTCTTTAGAAGGCCAAATACTGAAGATGAAACTCCAATACTTTGGCCATCTAATGAGAAGGAAGGACTCCCTGGAGAGGAGCCTAATGCTGGGAACAATAGATGGCAAAAGAAGAAGGGGACAGCAGAGAATGAGGTGGCTAGAGGGAGTCAATGAAACAGTCGGTGTGAGCTTGGGTGGACTCCGGGGGATGGTGGAGGACAGGAGAGCCTGGAAGAATGTTGTTCATGGGGTCGTGATGGGTCGGGCGCGACTGCAACTAACATAACATTGCCAGTAAGTAGATATACTGAGAGTCAGAAGTCCTTGCTTTCCTACTATAGGTTATTCAGAAATCTAGGATTTGGTCCAAGTCTATTTTCTATCCTACCCCTCATTCTGTGTCACATAAATCCAAAACCACTGTGTTCTGTTATATCCTTTCTACAGGAGATCCTAATGCGATACCTGCAGGTTGTGGAAACCTGCAGGGGCATCTGCAGGACGTTCCGTACTCTATCTCCTTCAAATATTTATTTTTGATTTTAAAGCTGTGAAAAACATTATGGTGTCAAGTTCTCCTTCCTGTTCCTGAACTTGCTTCTGATTCATTGATCAGGAAGAGAAGGAAAGCTTCCTGGTCAGATCCAAACTTTTCATGAGTACACAGATCTTTTCCTTTGTCCCTCCCATCTCTCCATTCCCAGCTTCTAGCCTTGGTATTTTTCTCTACCCATCCTGTTCTCTCACTCCTTTCTTGGGCCTAATCACCTTCTTTTTCTCTCTTCCTAACCTGGAGCCTTTCCCAGTTTATCTTGCTATTTCTCTCCACTTCCATTGGCTTTCTAACTCTTTTGATTAGCCAGGCCCTAATAGCAGACATCATGTGACTATCCACATAGTCATGGGAAGCAATTTTATGGTGTTGCCCACCCCGCTTTCTCAAATAGCCAAATATACCAATTGGCCCAAAAAGTCTGCAGACTCCAGAAAATACATTTAATCCATTGTAGACCTGAGGAATAAAGTTAAGGATGCAAAATCATGAACCGTCAGAATATGGTCCTGCTTTAATTGGGGGGTGGGAGAAAATAAAAAGTTTTTATTCACACATATGTACTGAATTCTTTGTGACATTTAATGGATTTATGCCTTTTTATTTTCCATGTAATAATGATTGATAATCTTGATTTATAGCAATTTTCTCTTTTATGGTTACAATAGTCACTTTAGAGCAACTTGACACAAATTAAGGTGTTTCTTTTTTTAAGGGTAACCTGAGGAATTACAGCTTTATTAGTTGCAGGCTTTAGTCATTATTTGAACTGCGACTTCATTAAAATGTAAACAAGCTAGCCAATAATCAATGTTTCCAATACCCAGCTTTGTGTAATACAGGGTGTTCCCTTCCCTCAGAAAATCCCTTAAGGGGCTTTTTCTTTAACCCTGAATCACAATGTTTCTTAACCTAACTTTACTATTTTTCCTTTTCTTTTTTTTACCTTGACTTTATATCAGAGCAATACTAGGAAAGGCCTCAAAGTGAAAATGAAACATGTTGAAAAACCAATTAATAGAATTACCTACATTATGCTGCTATCTGCTACTTAGCATTATTTTTGAGGGATAAATTAAACTGTGGAAGTAGAACGACATTACAACTGGCAAATATATCTCACAATTGCATACAAGAGGGAAGTAGTAGAAGGCCAGTTTGGAAGCAGCAAATGATAATGCCTGAAATACAAAGCAAGAAATTGAGGAATGGAGAGGTTCTTGTTTGAGGAAAGGAGGGGCATTAAAATGCATTGCATTATTGGCTGATGTGAAGAAAGCAGCTTGAAAAGCATCAGGCTCTGGAATTGTCATTTAAAGAAACTCTAGTCTCATCACTCCTACTATTTAAAAGCAGAGATTAAGTGCAATGTGTTTATATTCTTCCTACTCCTGTGCTGGGATAGTTCAGATTAGCATTTCTTTCACGTCTAAAATTACATGAAGAAAAATGTGTTTGTTCTTTTAAAGGTTATTTCAAACTGCAAGCCTTGAGAATCAGATGGGGGATTGCCACAAGTGATGTGTAAATATCTCTTTTCTTGCTTTTTCTTTTCTTCTGTGCAGTATGAACCAAGAGGACCAGGCAGGCCGTTGTACCAAAGAAGAATTTCATCTAGTTCAGCCCAGGCTTGTTCTGAAGATGTAAACGCTCCTCAAGATAGCCTTGGACAGTGTAAAGAGCTTCAGGACCATAGTAACCCATCCTCTTTCAATTATTCACCCCCAGAATTGTGGGTAAATACCACCTCATCAGCCCCATATCAGAACATTCCATGCAATGGATCCAATAGAGCAGGCCAGCCAAGAGAGCTGTTGGGTAAGCGATGTTTACCTTGTCACCTTTAACCCAGCCTACTTCACTCAGCTATTTCCAAGTGGTAGATGACTCAGAAAGTTTATTGATGTGCCCCTGCCTCTCCATCTAGAGATCACAGATGTTATGGACCAGCTGCATAATACAAGTGTCTTAGCATGCTTTCTTTAGGCAAGGAGACAAACTTTAGTAGTCTTTGTTCAAATGTATCACTTAAAAGTTTTATGAGGATGCACAGGCACAATCCATGAACTTCCATTACTTTCATTATATGCATTGCTGTTCAGTTGAATAGCTGGTTTGAGTCAATGTAGATTAAGCCATTGTTTAATATCTTAGTTTGTGAAAAAGCCCATTGTTTGAACAGTTTCCCATGTTCAGATATAAATCACAGTTGATTAAAGACTGTGAACAGAATCTATAAAGCTTTTACATTATGCACAAGGAGAAAGGAGGGACACATGATTTTCTACTCATGCAGCTCATCTTCATGAAGTAAGCGATGATGCATTACCTTTTGTGCTTTTAAAACTATTCTTCATTTTGTCTATGAAGTGGGGGCAGTTGAGGGAAAAGTAGGCAGGGCTCTGTCTTCCAAGAAGAGCAGGTTTAAGAGTAAGCGCACAGAGTGTCTATGGAATTTTACCTCATTTTTATTCAGTCATGTTTCAGTATCTGTTTCTTTTCATTTCTCCTCCACCATCATTTCTAAGGTAGGGACCTAGGCTTGAAGGGGTATTAGAGTCACATGCAAGGGTAGGGATGAAGGCCCTTGGGATTGCAAGAGATCACAGGATAGGAATAGGGAGAGGGGGAATTTCCTGCTCTTTTTCACCAAAGGTGGGGGGGGGGGTTGGGTTTTGTTTTTGTTTTTGTTTTTGTTTTATTTTGGCATGGAAGCCTTCCTCATCCTCCTTAGTATGGCTGCTGAGAAGAAGGAACTTTGGGGAAGAGGGGAATTCATCCCCTCCTTCCATGTTCTGAGCCCCTGGATCCTGTGCTGAAAGAAGGCTTCATTATCTTCAGTGGGTTTTTTCAATTGATGGGAATTTTGGTAGTGAAATTTCACCTAAATATCACAGTAGTGTATCCTGACTTCCTCTAGAACAGATGAGGCTTTAGAACCAAAAGGTGACATTTCTTACCATAAATCATTCCATTAAGATAGTGCATTAAGATAGTAATCTTTAGTGAATAGTGCTTTATGAAAGTTTATTTCACAGTTGTTCCTGGTAGAAGCAGACTGATTTGCCAGGTTTCTCATGGGCTTAGCTTCTTTCTGTCAAGACCATTGTACTTTGTAATGAATTTGGCCATGAAAAACATATTTGTAAATGTTTAGTGCTCATACTAAGGGGGTAATGCATGCAGAGGGGCTTCAGCTCTTTTTTGAAACCAGCACTGGCTTCATGTTCTAAGGTGTTAGCTACAGCAGGAATGAGAAACTTTGGACAGTCTGGCAGACAATTCCCCCTTGCACCCCAGACACACTGTGGGCTGTATTCCCTTCACCACTTCCATGCTGCAAAAATGTGGGGGGCGGGCAGGTGGGGAAACCAAGCTAAATTAGCAAATTATAAGTTTCTGCAGGCTAAAGAAAAATGGGGAGGAACAATGCAGTCTGGGCTTGCAAGTGACCCATATGTATCCCACCACTGTTTTAGAGAAAAAATGAGAGCCTTAAGGCTGTGCTCCACTTGCTCCAAAATAATCCAATTATACTCAATGACCACAGTATAGGATCAAAAATTGCATGTTTGTGCTCTACTCATGTACAGGAACATTTAAACTCCCCCGTTCAAGTTGCAGACTACTGCATTCCCAAGAATCCCCCAAGGTTGAGATCTGGGATAAGTATTCACAAGGCATGTGTCTTAGAGTCATTTTGCATTATTATTTTTTGCAATTTCAGCTTATACACAGTTTCATCTCACCCAGTTGTATTTGTTTTATCCCCACTATATCTGAAGCTTATTTTCCCAAGAAACTTTCAGGGTAGCATGAGAGTTTTCAGAAACCTGTAAACTTTGAGGATTTGGGATTTCATACAACATTCAAAACATTTGCTAATCCCCACAGCCTTTTAGCTAGCTGCTTCATGCACAGCTTGGAGAAGGTGAAGCTAGCTGTTAGCTTTTCCACTTGTTTGTGAAAAGTGTTGAATTAAAACAGCTACCTTATTTGTTCTCGGTTTCCAGTTCCAGCGAAGACGGTCAAACCCCAGGAGGAACAGATGAAAGCTGAAAGCATCCAGATGTCCAATTCTTTTAATTACAACATGCTGCAGCATCTTGGCCAGTTCCCGCCCCTCATGCCCAACAAGCAGATTGTTGAATCCCACAGCAACAGCCAGCTGAGCACCGGGGTGAACAAGCCTGCCATGTCCTACGCAAGTGCTCTGAGGGCTCCACCAAAGCCCAAGCCCGCTCCTGAGCAGGCAAAAAAGAATAGTGACCCTTTGTCTTTGTTTCAGGAACTTAGTCTAGGTAGTTCATCAGGTAGCAATGGCTTTTACTCCTATTTTAAATAATCAGAATATTTTTGTAGAGAATTTTTAATTTCTATTCGTGTCAGTAGTTTTAAGATAGTTGGGGCTTCCCCTGCAGTTGCCACCATATTTCTTTGTTTATATTAGTGAATATATCTTGGTTTAATTGCTTTGCTGCTAGACTTGAAGCTAACCTTTATAAATTATATTCCATCTTCTTACTTTTTTTCCCTTTTGATGTGGGTCAGAGATTTGAGAAAAAAATCCCTAGAAAAATACACTTAAAAATTATGTAACTTTATATATGTGTTGCATTAAAGCTAGCAGCTGAAGAGTTAACTGTGCAACTTAAAAAAAATAAAACATTAAAAAAGTTGTCAAAATTGTATTTAAAAATGTAAGTAGCATTTACATTTATTCAATAACATTTAGCATATTATGCTGGATTTCTGTACCAGAAATGTCCAGTTAATGTACAAATGTATGTTACGTCTGCTTAAATTGTTTATTTTTTTTTAAATAAAAGTGCAGCATCTTCTAATTACTTTCAGTTTTATCAGCTTTCTGTAAATGGATGCTGCATTCTAAGACTTTTATAGTTTTAGAACCTGTATGATGTGGTATAGTAATCTTCTTTGACTCTAGGATAAAGTGAAGACCTACTTGCAAATCCACGTACCATTGTTTTTAACATTTCAGAGTTAAAAAAGCAGTGGTCAGTATAAAAAGGAAAAAAGTAAACATTTTATTTTTGGACAAGCTGCTAATTTTAGCTTGTTGGAAAGATTAATTTGATAGGTTTGTACACAAGTATCATGAAATTAAAAACAAATTTTTCGCTATGTTGGGTGCTTTGTAGTTTAATAACTATTTAAAAGAAACAATTGAGTGAATTTAGTAAAATATTTGGTCCTCCTCCCAACTATGCATGTGTAAATGCTTGTAATCTGGTTTCTTCCCCTCTGGCTTCTCTAGTGGTATAAAGAATGGTGCCGCTTTAAGTTCTTCCCCCCCACCCCACCAGTAAAACCTTTTGGTACGTTATTTGATGTTTACATTAAATGTGACATTATACACAGATATTCAAATATTTTGCTAACTGTTTTGTTTGAGGAACATCATTAAACAAGATTTTTATGTTTGTCAAAGCTGTATCCAAATTAATCCACAGTTTTGGGGAGTCGAGTTGTGGGGAAGGGAGGGGGAGGAGATGTGTTCTACCCAGTTGTTTTTATCTTTGTATGTTCTGCTAAGGTTTTCCACAATCTTGGTCTTTTACCACTATATATTGAAAGTGAAATCTATAAAGAATTATACAGCAATATGTAACAAAATTTTGGAAAAAAACATTTTAGGGTAACGTTTACCTTTCAGGTTGTGGTCTTGTACACTGTTCATACTTTTGAAGTAAGGGATGTATCTTTTATAGCTTCTATAGAGGCACGTGTCCTCCTTTACACTTGAAAAGATCTCTTTGATCGGGAAGATTAATTTTTATCCGCAGTTTATTTATTTTAGTTTCCCATTGTAAAACACAAGAGTTGCAGTTACAAAAGTAGCATTTTAAAATGTGTTCCTCTTTGCAGTAGCACAGCTTCCAACAGCTTTGCAACCATTGGGATCTATCTGCAGCCTTTTGCTGAATGTTTCTGCTTGCTTCTGTATTCAGCCTGATATTTGCTTTCATTGTGGTCCTCTTGAAAATTGTAAATTCTGATGGTAACCTCTCAGCTTGGTCAAAATTACTGATTTTAAATAATCAGGATTTTACTCAAAGGTGTTTCTGTAAAAGATCTTCATATGCACTGTGCTATTTGGATGGTTACTGGGCTAATGGTTCAGAAAAGCAAGGTAGAGTTCCATAGCTGTGTAACTTTATTTCTTAATGACCAAACACGAATCAAGAAGAAAGTCTCTGCTCAATTTTACTTAGCACTCTGAGCAGGATGATCAGATCAGGAAGACCCTAATGTCCAAAGGCCAGCTTCTCCGCATCTTAAATAGAGTTCTTGTTGCTCTCATTAGCAACTTTGGCCAATTATTGATGATAATGGCATCCTGAACTGGCTCAAAAAAAAAAAAAAAAAAAAGAGTGGGGGAGACATGGTCAGCTCCAATGCAGTAAGTGAAGCTATTTCTGATTTTCATCTCTGAAGTTCTAAATTGTAATCTGCCCTTAATTATTCATGAAAAATTCTACTGAAAACAATGAGACTCAGCTGCCTGATCCTGGTCCTGGTCCATGCAAAAGAGCAATAGCAGGTTGATTAGAATGGAAATATACTCACCCAGTTGAGAACTCTAAATCATATATTTACATAGACTCTTAGGTTTCTGTTCATCTCATATGAAAGTTAAACTAATACACATTGCTTGTACTTTTATTTTGAACTGTGAGCTAGTTGAGGAATAGTTGTTTACATCTGACTGTTCATACTTCAGCTGTCACATGTTGGCATTTCTATTGCAGCAACATCTTCCTAGAGACATTAAAGCATATCTTTTTTTCTTGTCCCACCCCCTCCATTCTTGTTTAGCACCCGTCTGCTTGCTTTTAGCATATCTGTAAGATGTATCAGAAGCGTATGCTTCCATTTGGGAGACTGATTGTTTACCTTTTCAGATGACAGCAATTAAAACAAGTTTTCTGTGAAACTAGGGAGAGGTTGCAGTCTTCAATCCATTTTCTCTGCATTATAGTTTTTAACAGAATTACTGTTTTGTTAAATTGGTCATGAATCGCAATGAGACATGGCTTATTTGTGGCCCCAGTGAGGTTGCTGTTTCCTTGCTTCTGGATACTTGTTTTTTCTAGGTATCTTGAGCAAAAGTAATTTCAGAAAAAATATAGCAAAGCTTCCACATCATTGCAATTTGCTAGTCCTCCATGCATGTTATAACATAAGAAGTTCTGATTCCATAATATGTTTCAAATGCTGGTACTAGTTATGGCAACACAGGAGAAATTCTGCTTAAAAGCAAATCACAAAATTCTCATTGATGTCAATCATTATGGAATTGCCATTTCATTGTCAATGTTTTATGCCATTCAGGCATATCCAATTTTCAGTTACAGTAAAATAATACTTCTGATGACTCTGATATTTTACGATGTATAGTCAGAATTGTTACATATTTACAGAGTTGTTACATACTTAGGTCTGTGGTTCTTATTTATACAAACCGTATATCATTTGCAGCAATTCTCTCTTCCCCTGCCATAGTAAGGTTCTGACCATTATTTCATATTTCCAGAAACCAAATGAACTCAAGACATGGAAACAAGTATCTTTACTTTAAAGAGAGTATGTTACATCACTGCACTTAAAGAGCATTTAAAAATATATTAGTGAAAAGACACGACTGCTGGTCTTCAACATATGAACCATGTTGGTTGACATTTTATTTGATATGTTAGGTAGAATAAGTATTTTTCTTTTGGTCAAAGGTTTCATTTTACAGGAAGCATTCAATCTTTCACATTCATGAAACTGACAACATTCTGCTTACTGTAACATGAAGGAAGTAGTCTTCCAGGTTATACACTAGATTCTGGTTTTTGTCATCTACTTTCATGTGCTCTTCCAACTCTTAGATAATTCTTCCATGACATCTTTCCTTGGATCATCTGCCCTAGTCTCCATCCACATAATACCGCCAACTAGAATCTGTCACTAGCCCCAAACTTAGGACAACTGGCAGTGACTGAGAACTTCACTCCAGGATCTGCGTAAGAAACTAATGTTTTCCATATTTAATGCTTGCCATAGGTCTTGGTCTTCGTAATATAGGACATCCCAAATGAACAAGAGGCCCTGTTCTTACCTGGTTCTCCTCACTGAATAACCTCATACTTGTATATATGGAAACGGCCCTACCTGTATTCTAGGGAGTTCCACCCTCAGCCCCTGTACATGCTTCTGCCTATTCAGCCCTAAGTCTGCACATATTGAGGGGTGGGGAGCATTCACCCTGGGCTTCCCAACTTCATGGGTGGATGTATTTCCCACCCATTTTCTTTTGTATGAGAGGAGTTTACATTAAGAAGTGGAGAGACTTTACAAAGCAGACTAGAAAAGACAGAGCATCTACACTCAAGGGCATTTGATACGTAGTTTATTCTCAGAATTCATTCTTGGAAAATGCACTTGTCCAAACCTGCCTCTGTAAAAATTCTGAAACCTGAAGGTGCATATTAAAAATGGGAATGGTCCAAATAGGCCTTTCCATCTGCTCCTTCAGTATCTGCTTTCTTCCTTTGAGTTCTGCTAGGCAAAAGGATCTTAGGTGTGACTGCTCTCTCTGCCTGTTTCTTCCACCTAACATGCCCAGTCCTAGGTCTCCCAGCCTGCCTAAGTGACTGCACCAGAGCCTGCAAATCTTTATCTGTTTTTCAGATGTTGTGCATAGGGAGCAGGTGTGATATGATAAACCTGGTTCTTAGTATATTGTACACATTGCAACATTTGCTAAGCAAATATAAACTTGACAAGCTACTTTTGAGAACATTTTATTTGTTGACTTGCAGCTCATACATTTTTACTACTAAAGATTCTTGGTCATGAAGCCAGAAGTAGCTTGAAATAGCCTCAGAAGTAGCCCCAGAAATAGCTTTAAATGAAATGTGAATTTGTGAAGATGTGTGCAAACCATTCTGAGCCTAATAATATATCTGTCATAAGGTGTGTGTGCATTTGATGCATGGTGAAAAATAATGTTAACAGGCATCTCACTGCAGCTTTAATAGATTCATCTACTGACCCAAGAAAACAAAGATTGATTTCTATCAGGCTCCAGCTTTAAACTAATTAGAAAAGACAAATCAATAAATCAGTAAGGGTAGATTTGAGTAGTACAGATACGGTAAATTTTGGAACTGCTTCACTGCTTATCCATCCCCCCATTTAGACAAGTCCTCCCCTCTGGGCTGACATTATCTTTCTCTTTGGATTTTTATGCTGTTAGTCTTTGCTGCCTGCATTTAGCAGCTTCACTTTTGCACTATATGTACTACCTACTCAGCTATCCACATCCATTTTGATAGCAGTCATCACTAGTCTAAGATGGGAATTGCTCAGCTGACAGTTCTTTTGCTCATGCTCAAACACTGTGGTATACTATCACATGGTATCTCCCATAAATTTATTGTGGGTTTTATTCTTTTACTTCTCCTCCCCCGCACACACACACACACTTGCTGTCATCCTCTACTGTGTGTCACTGCATGAGTGTCCCAGTGTATTCTAACAAGTACATTCTTTGTTTTGTGCATTTGGGGCATTTTTACCTAATATTAAATCTAACAATAAGCAACTAGTAACTTACCTATATTTATTCTATCTTCACTGTTGGCCTTAGTTAAAATGAAGTTAATCTTTATGATATATAGAGATGGAGATCAGAAGCAGATGAAAAGTATTCACACTGGAATCTGCTGTTGGAAGCAAATACTTCACAATGCCTCGCATTTAGACTGGTCATGTTTGTATTAAGTAAAATATGGTCACCATATAAAAGCCATTTGTGAAATTAATGATTTAAGTAAATTGAGTCCCAGTATAACAACCTGTAGGTTTTAATGGAATCATCTATGGATGTGCACAGGGTTGCTGAAGAATTTAGCTATCTAGCATAGATCAGGTAGAAGTGGCCTGTGCACACGGCCACTGTGATTTGCACTATTACTGTGAGTAGGTCCTTTATGGAAGCTGCACTTTAAGCAAGTGGTGCTTCCATGCAAAGCCCACTGTGAACTCACCAACAGCTTCACACTGTTGAACACATCATGACACCCGAGAACAAACTTGGGAACAAAAGTTCTGGGAATGTGAGTTGTCATTCTGTTGGAAAAGGTGGATGCCCATTTTGAACTACATATTTCTGACCTCTGAAGCCTACCCAGAGGCCACTTCCCACCATGTCTTGTTTAGGTTTGAACTTGGAGTGAGAGAAACTGTAACAATGGGGAGGTGGCGACCAGCTCCGTTGTTCTGCACAACGGTTGCACCCTTTAATGGAAAAGGGCACCACATGTGTAACATCTGCTCATTCCCAGCCTGCGCCTTGGACTAGCAAGGATCACATCCATGGGAACTGTAGTTATCAGCTGGGCTCTGTCAGCACAAATGACTCTCTCTAGATGCATCCATCCCCAACTTTCATAACAGGATGGCGCGTGTGTCCTGTGCATCTCTTGTCAGCTTCCAAATAAATGTCTTGCTCTGTGGTTTCCAGCACACTGGAATCCTCTATCCCATCCATTAGTTTTCCAGATTCTGTCAGCTTTGGTCCCTGATTCCTTCCTTCTCCCTCACACTATGCCTTGGGTATCCCTGAAGCACACCCACCCACATCATCACTGTCACCCAAAAATTATTGTTATAGCCAGATATCTAGAACCAGCTAGCAGTAAGGTTAGCCCTGACTCTTGTGGTTCTTCCAATGTGTGGCCACAGTGTACAGTTATGCAGACATATGCCCCACTGGCTTTAATAAAATGCAACTGTGCACTGTGCGACTGGACCTCTGACTGTGGCAAAATTCACCTTTAGTGTGGATCTATTAATAAAATTGGCTGTTAGAAAAATCTATTTTCCATTTGATATATAAATCTCTGAAATATTCCATTCTTTGAAAGGCAAAAAAAAAAAAAAATCTCAGGAAAAAACTGAGGTTTTTGTGTCTTCGCTGATAGTCACCATGGCTTACTTTAGAAAAGAAAATTACCTTATATATTAAAAAGTCAGTACTAGTATAAGCAGAAATCCCTGAATGTAGCTCAGAAAAGCTACAAAGCACCAAGAATTTGAAGCCTTTCAGAATTAGATTGCATTAAATGTCTCCTGGTGGTCTAGATTGCTAAATTCAGAAGGTGCTTTTAAAGTTGTTAAAATAAATTTTTGTGATTCCTTGTAAGCTGCGTTGAGGACTGGGTCTTACGGTATCTATCTTCAAGTGTAATGATTGTCTTGGTGCACTCTTTATTTTTAAAGATTAATGGTAACACAAAATGTATTTTACTGCTACATTTAAAATGTATTTATAATAAAATGCCTTTTTAATAAATAATATTGAAATTTATCATTGCGTTGATGTTTGCAGTATTTGCTGATCTTATGTGTCTCTGAACCAAACTACCTGTTCAGTATATTGCTTTGATTCAAGATCTAAAGATGGGGGAATAGGTCTCGTTTTTACTTGAGGTGGAAGTAGCATTTACAATCAATCCACAGAGTTATTGGTTAAGGTAGCTCCATTGCTTTCAGTTCTTCACCAGAACTGAAACCAAGTTTCTTTTATCAGTCAACATTGCACTGCTAAACAACTTAACAACACATCTTAAAACTATACACATATTTAATAATAACACAAGCATTCATTTCACTCTCAAAGATAACATAGCTTTTAAATGGGAACTGCTATTGTGGGGGGCTGACCCAGTAGGTCCAATGTTTCCAATGACTGACGTCGTTTTTAGCTTTTTTTGTGTTATTTTTTTTGTGTTAATTTTTTTGTGT